ATGCCAAGGGCAGAGGGCAGTTAGGAGTGGGGATTGATGTGAAAAATCTGGGGCCAGGAAGTCCTGGCTGTGAAGGTGACATTGGAGCAGAGACAGCAGGTAGAGGAATGGCAGATGTGCGAGCCATACTGGAGCATTAACAAGTTAATCTCATAATGAGCACTAAGTACCAGGCGCCCTTCGAGTGCTTTACATACATAATCTCACTTAATTACTTAAAAGTCTTCATCTCATTACACACTTCATCTTACAAAAGAATAATCTGAGTATATTTCTAATATTCATACAGAAATTTCCATTTATAAAGTCTTTTTCTAATGTCGTTTGCTTGCTCTTCACGGCGTTTCATTGGGGTTCCTGACCTCAGGGTAGTATAGCCAAAGACCAGAAAGGTCAAGTCCTTGCCCCAAGTCACTCAGCCAGTAAGTGCTGGAGCCAGAAAGCAAACCCAGGTCTGTCTGGACCCAAACGCTGTATTCCTCTCTCTGAACCAACAGCTCTGGACGGCAACGAATGCCACCTCGTTCCATCCAGATCTCACCCGAATCCTGCACCAAAGAGAAAAGGCAAAGTCGTGTTGAAAGGAACTCAATTTCCATCATCCTTCCAGACACAGTGCCTAGATAAGCTGCGGAAGTCACACCCAGAACTCACACTGGATCATTCCCTCTGCTGATCAGTGACGACTTCTGGCCATGCCCAGTGTTCCACAGAGCTAACCCAGAGCAGGTGCTCGAAAGGGAGCTGTCTCCAGATGAGGTTTTTGTTTTGTTTCTTTTTACTGAGGTTTTGTTTGGTTTCATTTTTAGCAGATCATTCTTAAGGTTTGAGGGAATTAAGTAGAGAACCATTAATTCGGCAAATAGGCCTTGAGATTTATTATATGCAAAATCTTTTTTACATCGGAAACAGATTTATTCTGGCAGGGCTAGCGAGGGCCCTCCCCTCTGAGAGCTTACAGCCTGCAGGGGTGTGTCCTACAGGACCGATTGTGTGCCAGGCACCGTGCTGAGCCCTTTACATGGGCCAACTCTTTGCATCTTCACCACAGCTCCCTGGGGGAGGTGTCACTACTGCTTTACAGATGTGGCATCTGAGCCTCA